GGGGCCGACCACGGCCTGGGGAGAGCGCCTCCGCCAGCCGGCCCTCCCTGCCTGGAGGCGGGAGTATGGCCCGGGAATGGACGCCCGGAGCTGGTAGCCAGGGGCGGCTGCTCGGTGCTGACTCTTGCTATTGTTTTTCTGGAGGCACATCTGGGCTTTTATTTTTCAGCTGTGTCCAGCTGCATTAAGAAGTAACTGCACACCACCTCCCACCACCATGAAAGGAGTAATTTCGTGTAATTGAAGCCCCAGAACATATTTTTCTCCCTCTCTCCCTCTTTCTGTGCTCTGAGGAAGCGCCTTCTTCAGAAGGCACTTCAGGTTAAGGAAATTGGCTTTCTCCTGCTGTTGTGGCTCTTGTGTGCCGGTACAGCAGGGATCCCTGTTGCAGGAGGGTGGGCTCGCTGTGATAGGGAGTATGGGACCCGGGCTGTTTTTCGCACTGTCCTGCAGCCGTGGGGCCGCAGCCAAAAGGGAAGTTTGATGCTCCAATAAAAGACCTGCCAGACTATTCGGAAATAATGGTAATAGCCTGCCTGCCCGCCGTTTCTTCCTCTCTGTGCTGCGAGCGCAGCTGTTGCTCGGGCACCGCGGCCCCGCGCCGCCGGTATCTGCTCTCTGAACACGGAAGTGGCATCCAGTGGAAAAGAGTGTGCTGCTGCTGCGGCGAAACGTTTCCACCCCCGCCATGGCATGGCAGTAGCTGGGCAGCCTTGTGCATTCTAGGGTTTATTTGCGATCCTGGGAGCGACCTGGACCGTTTGCAATAGGTGTGCAATAGGGGTGGCCGTCCCTGGCTCACGCAGGCACGTAGCTGCTTTGCCCGCTCCTTCCTAATTGCCGTTTTGCTTTTCTGTCTGCACTGCTCACTTGGAAAATCCAAGTCAGAAACCTCAGCTCTGTGTGAATCACTGCATTTATAACCACCTTTTCCATTCGTGCCTCCCTCCCACTGCTAGGTTTCTCTTTGGACCATTAAAAGCTCCCTTCCGAGATTGGCTACTGACTCTGCCATCCCCGGCCGCACTTGGCTGACGCTGCCAGAGGGTTAGGCCGGGCAGAGCTGCCGTTGAGTGCCGGGACATTGCTGTACACACACGGCAGAGGCACGCTCCCTCCAGACTGCACTGGATGGGTTCGTGCTCCCTGTGCAAGCAGAAGACTTTTCAGCTGAGTCATAACATCTGCACGAGAGGAACGTTATTTTAAAAAAAAAAAAACCAACGACTGATAATCAGACCATGTCAGCGAGTTCTTCTGTAGCCCTTTCCAACACATGCTGCAGCTGGGTTGCGATCGGTGGGATCCCTGCCTGGGGAGGGTTTGGGGGTCTGCTGCCGTGGCTCGCAGCCCCCTCTGGTGGCACATGCCAAATGCTGGCAAAGGTTTCTGGAGACAGGAGCCCCGGGGCTCCAGAAACAGACAAATTGGAGGAACCCCGTTGCTGCACAGTCAGGCTCTTCCTCCTGACGTTGGCTCCCCATGTCAAAGCCTTGGGGTTTCCAGAAACAGGAACTGGGGCCACTGTAATGAGGAAATTTATGCAGTTGTCACTGTGGCCTCGTGAGCGCCATGGTAGTGCCAAGAGAGTTGAAGCGAGTTCAGCATCCTGGTGTGTGCTGGATGCATGGCCGGAGATGCCCGAGCTCCCAGCCTGAAGGGCAGAGGGGACCAAGGGTTGGCAAGGGAAGACACAAAGCTCCCAGCACCCGCCTCGCAGAGCGCTGCCTGCCAGGGGACACTGCCAGTAACACGCTGGTGTTCCCAGACCACAGTACAAAGGGTGAGGCACGCGGGCTCGGCTAGCCAGCGAAGGCCTCTTGTGGCAGCATGGGTATCTCCCGTGCTTCCAGGAAGCTGGGCACTGGAACAAAACAGCTCTGCATCCTTCCTAGAGAGCAGCAGAGACGCTGGCCCGAGTCCCTTGCTCAGGCGGTGGGGGGAGCTGCAGCCAGCCCCAGTGCCCGCAGGCAGGCAGCTGGTGGCTGCAGCATGC